TCTATCTATCTATCTATCTATCTATCTATCTATCTATCTATCTATCTATCTATCTATCTATCTACCTATCTACCTATCTATCTATCTATCTATCTTGCCTAGTGCTAGTATTGGAAGTTGACCTCAGGGTTTAGTACTCTGCTTTTTTGTTCACAGCTGGTCCTCTACCACTTGAACCAAGCTTCTAGTTCTGACTTTTTGTGGGTTATTTGGAGGTAAGAGTCTCTTGAATTTGTCTGCCTATGCTAGCATTGAACTGTGATTCTCCAGTTTCAGCCTTCTCAGTAGCTAAGATTATAGGTGAGCCATTGATTTCCATAGCAGGTCCACATACCTGTAATAAGGATCCTTTTCCCCTGCCTCCGTGTCAGTATTTGCCAATTTTTTTTATGATCTCCATTTCAACTGGACTAAAGTAGTGTTGTTTGATTTGCATTTCCTTTATGGCTAAAAGCATTATATGTATATATGTATATATATATGTGTGTGTGTATATATATATATGTCATTAAAGTTGTTCGGTTCATTTGCCTATTTATTCATTGTATTAGTCTTTGGGTCTTCGTGGCAAGAGTGCCTATATCACAAGTTCCAGGTCCTGAATTAAAATACAAGTACCACAAAAACAATCAGAACAATTCCACAAAAACATAGCTATGGACTGTGATTAGCAATTATAAGTATATGAATGTAATAATTTAGGATTCTTCTTTTATTAATGGGCTGCAGCAATTCTGAGCATTCATAATTTTGAAAACATTTTGTTACAGAGTTCCTCTGGGAAGACTTTCTTTTAGGGTCTAAACAATGTTATTTCTAGTAAATTGGCTCCTTGGTACAAGTGTACAGCTGGGCGCCTTTTATAACTCAAATGTCAGGTCCTTCATAAAGATTGTGTGGTACTCTTGATGTTAGGAAACATGTTCAGTGTTCTCTTTATGTTGCCAGATTAAAGCAAAAATGAAAATGCACTTAACTCTCTTTCTCTCTCCATACATACACACGCACAGACTTTTTTTCGTTTGTGTGTATGTTGGTACTGGGGGCTTAGGTAAGGCTTTGTGGCTACACTGGGATTTTTCACATGCATATCTAGCACTCTATACTTGAGTCATACTTTGAGTTCTGTTTTTTTGCTAATTAATTGGAGATAAAGTCTCAGTTTGGTCCACCAAAGCTGGCTTTAAACGTCCACTCTCAGATCTCAGCTTTCTGAGTACCTAAGATGATAGGTGTGAGCCAACGGTGCCTTGTGTAAAATCCTATTTTGCCTTGTGATAGGAAAAGTTCTTAAGGGGATGAGCCTGGGGGCAGGTGGAGAGAGGAGAGCAGAGGGATGTCTACTGCATGTTGAAGCTGCAGGAATTCAGTGTTTTTGCCGAAGCACCACCTTTCTGAAAGAAGTACTGCGGCCTCTGACCTGTGCCTTGTGTTGCAGGTGTGGTGTCGCTGGTGGCTGTGCACCCATCCACGGTGAACACACTTGGAAAGCAGCTCTTGCCAAAAACCTTTGGACAGTCCAATGTCAACATCACACAGCAAGTGGTAAGTGGTAAGCATGTGGATGGGGCACTGGAGTGGGTAGATGCTCCACTGTGCTGCCCTGGTGTCCCTGGAAGGCTAGACCTTGCCTGGGGTGCTGGGGGACCATGACTTCTTCCTCTGGGGGTATATGCACAGTAGTAAGTGAACCGGATACGTGGGGTGTAGTGTCCCACACTGGTGAGTGAGGCCCTTACCCCTGGAGAGTGACAGGAGTAGGTGTGGGTAGGGTGAGCCAGCTTCTCCCTGGTGGCCTCCAGTGGCCCGTGTGGTCACAGTTCTGAACCCAGGGGGTTATTTTGTGTTCAAATGGGCACTGCAGTGCCCAGGTCATGCAGCCACCCTGGCGTTCCTCCATATCCATTGCCTTGAGAGCTGGGAGGCCGTGAGGGAAGGACCTGGATGGGAGTGAGGGATGCACGGGGGAGGGGAAGGAAAGGACTTGGGAAAGGGAAAAGGAAAGGACACGGATATGTCCAATGTTAGGGTGGGGGGAGGATAGGGAACTACCATTTCCTTCACTCTCTGTTACCAGCAAGGCGCCCCACAGAGCAGGCCTATGTCTCCCTTCCCAGGGCAGGCCTGGGCCTTGGAGCAGTGTTTGCCATCTAGAGCACAGACGCTCTTGGGCCAGTCCCTCGGCCCTCCTCCTGGGACCACCTTCGCCACGGTTGTAGCTTGTCCAGATCCTACCTTGGGTCCTACCTTGGCTCTGGCCTGCATTCTGGGGGTTTCTCCTGAGTCCCAGACCATCGTTACACTTGTGCCTCGTTCCAGACCACACACTGCTTCCTTCTGCTGCACCCTCCGTGGACCTCCCCTTGTCCTCCGCCCCTTAGGAAGGGCTCACAGCCTGAGTGAAGAGACCAGTGTGGTGCTGTCTCTCAGGTATCTACAGGCCTCTCCAGGTTCCCACAGGTCTCCACAGGATCCCCACCTCAAGGAGAGGCCTGGTCAGGGCTGATGGTAGTTGATGCTGTCTGGGCACCTTCATCATAACCACACTTTCTTCAGAGGAACTCAATTGTTTATCCATCTTAGTCTTACGATTGACATCCTGTGTTTCCTTTTATCAACATGCACCAACTTCATCATATCCAAGTGTCTGAGGTTTAAATAGGAGTGCTTATGGGCAGAGTTACACTCAGGAAAACACCAGTTCTGTGGACAGAGCAGGATTTCCCTCAAGTGAGAAGGGGTCTCTGCTAGGCTGGTCCTGCCAGTTAGATGTGACTGAAGCTTGCTTCACAGGGCTGTGGGTCATTAAAAGCAGCATAAGTCATTCTGTAGTGCTCGGTTGTGCTTGCTGCTAACTAACGCCATTTTGCTAAAAGCTAGACATTTCAGTTTCCTTTCTGCTTTATAATTTCTGTAGTTTTTATTTTAATACTGTATTTTATAGCAGCGTTTAGCTTGGTGAATAAACTTTAATTGAAGCAACAATTTTTTTCTTTTTTTCTCATGCTAGTGCTGGGGCTTTATCTGTTCACAGCTGACTCTACCACTTGAGCCACACCTCCAATTCCAGTGTTTAGCTGTTTAATTGGAGATAAGAGTCTTGTGGATCTTCCTGCCCAGGCTGCCTTTGAATAGCAATTCTTAGGTCTTAGCCTTCTGAGTAGCTGAAGTTATAGGAGTGACCTACCAGCACCTGGTGCACCAATTCTATTTTTATTGTCCTGTAAATGGGTTGATGGAAAGATAATATAAACATTCCTAGTGGGGCATTTTAAATTGTTGGTTGGAAAACCAAATTAGTGATTTAATTTGAGCTGTGTCGGGAGGACTTAGTAATTTCTGTTTTATGTTTTGTAATATGTTGAAGTGTATTAGCTTGCATGTTGCAAATGATTCTTAAACCTTCATGAATCAAAGGTTTTAGAAAAAAGGACTTCTGGCTCTGAGATAGAGAATGAGGCGTAGCCCTTTGTATGTGAAACCTGACTTGCTCGTGTCTGCTGGGTCTCCAGCAGTCCCCTGCCAGCTGCTGGATGGCTGTTGTGTTGCCTGCTTGTGCAGCAGAGTACACAGAGCACAAGGTCTCTGCCCTGGTGGCACTCCCGTGTAAGCCCTTGTGGGTGAGATTGTGGGGTGCCTCAGGAAAGTTTTGTGGTAACTTCCTAGTTTTACCATCTACTTAGACCTCTAAAACAGTGTAGCTTTACATAGGGAGATATTCTTGGATATTTTTCATGTAAGTTGAGTCGCACATCATAGCCAGAGGTTACTCTCATTTCACTTTTTAGAGTCTTTGAAATTAGGGTGCAAAGGATGGCCTTAGGGTCCAACTTGGGAAGGATGCCCTGGGTGGGATCCTTCTCCGCCCTCTGTGAACACTACTGGGCCTTATGTCTGTCTTCCTCCCATGTGCTCTTCATCTTCATCTGTGTCCTTCAACGGCCACTTAGTGTGTGGTGTCTTCCTCTCCTATGTGCTCTTCATCTATGTCCTTCATCAGCCACTTAGTGTGTGGTGTCTTCCTCTCATGTGCTCTTCATCTGTGTCCTTCAGCAGTCACTCAGTGTGTGGGCTATGGAAATCTTGGGGTGGAGAAGACCTGATCTGAAGCCACATTGCTCAGTGACTTCAAACCATTCCCAGTCCCTAGCGGTGATAGTGGGACAGAGACTCTACCCCATGACCCTGTATCTCCTCCTTGCTTTTCAACAAGACCAGAGCAGTGGGTGTTTGGACAGTTCCTGGGATACAGATAGGGGTCTTACGCCTTTGTGCCCATATGCTGAAGCATAGCTCACAGCGTGAGGAGTGGGGCCTCCTGAACTCTCTTGGCAATCCACAAGATTGCCTCATGGAGTAGCCAAAGCTGGGAAGTGCACCTTTGAGCAGGCCCACAAAGCCTGCCAGATGCAACTGAGTCTAGACTGATCCTAGTCATCAGGAAAAGGTGGTTCGCTTTAGCACCTGTTCTGTGCTTTGTTCTTCCCACTCACTGGGTGGGTTGTATTGGAGAGGCACTGCAAGGAGCCCAGACTAGGCCTTGCAGTCCTAGTTGTTTGTGGGGCTTGTGAGGCCAGTTAGTCTTGTTGCCATTTGCCTCTGGGTGTCCTCTGTCCATATGGGGTTTTCAAGGGTGGTGGCAAGCACAGCTCCTGTCTCTTAACTCTGTTGAGGGCAAGGGGAAGATGGCGTTCCTGTCTTAGGTGAGTGGGCTTGCCCAGCTGAGCCATAGCCTGTGCAGCGTCTGCCTTTCCAAGTAGTGGGCCTTGTGAATAGTGCACCCTCGTGTGGTCAGCACTCCTTGAATGCACCCACGTCTTCTGAACAAGGAGAAGCCTTATGAAACATTGCTTTGTAAAGGAGACTTGTTCTCTCTTCTGTTTTATTTTTCACAAGCTTCTCTGGTCTGGTGCATGTCTTGCTGATGAGTGTGGTGCAGATGAGGCTGTAACCGTGAGGATGGATGCACTACCAATATCAGGGCCATACAGGTGTCTTTGGGACAGCAGCCCCATGGTTCCTTAGCACACAGCCATCCCACTCCATCCCTTCACTGGAAACTTGGTGTCCCTTGTGGCATTTGGTTTCAAGTTGAATGGCTTAACATTTACCTTAATTGTTTCTGACTTAGAGCTATGGGACAAGGACTGAATGGTTGAAGCTTTCATTAGCTATTTGAGGCAGTATCTGTGTTCAGAGACCATCATTTCATTTAGCTGAGGGAACTAAAATGACAGACCTGTTGTCAAAAAGGCAAACTGTGTGTTCCCTTCTCTAATGAGAACAGTGCTGCACACCCTGCCTGGCAGGGTAGCTGCTTACATCGGCTCACGAGAGTTCTCCCTGAGAACACCAGCTCTGGCTCCCAGGCTAATCACACCACTGTGCTTTGCTGTCTGGCTGTCAGGTCCTCCCCAGAGAAGGATCCTTGGGCAGAGTACCTGGGCATTTGTTTTTTAAACAAGCCAACAGCCCAGGCAGCACTAGCTAGCTATCGGTGCAGGTTGTGCATTTGTTTTGAAAGCCATTTTTCGTTTGTTTTTGGTCTCTCTTTAGTGCCATGGAAGGATACAGTTTTTCCTTGTCTGTCTCATTAAATGAAGTCAGTCCAGACATGGGATGGTAACGCTGGCGGCCATGGAGGTGCCTCTGCAATGTGGACACCACTGTGTTCTCCGCACAAGAGCCGGCCATGTCTGTTCTGGCCTGCCTGGGCTGGCTGCGGCTTCTTGATGCTTTTGCCAAGTGAAGAAGATACCCAAGCTAGAGGTGAAGCAGCACCGTGCCCAAGCAGTTGTGTGGGCATCTGCTTTGTCTCTGTCCTTCCTTTCTCACTGTGCTGGTGAGGCACAGCAGCAGCCACAGATGTGAGTGGATGACACTGATGGCAGCATCATGACATGCAGATATCTGATTGTTCTGAATTCTTTTCTGACTAGGTGATTGGTACGCCTCAGAGACCAGCAGCATCAAACACTATTGTGGTAGGAAGCCCACACACCCCCAGCACTCACTTTGTGTCCCAGAACCAGCCGTCTGACTCCTCACCTTGGTCTGCTGGGTGAGCACCCCCTGCCCAATGGTGGCAATGTCTAGAATGTCCTCTTCCCCAAGGGACCATGTGTCCTATAGTCTGTGGTGGGGTGTCCATGCATGCTGAGATTAAGCTCCAAACCCATCACTGTCTGTGGGATACTGAGGTGTGAGCCCCCTGGTCTGGCAGCTGTTCTTTCCAGGGTAAGAGCTCTAGCTCAAGAAGAGGAAGATGCTGATCTCCATCTTGTTGCTGCTACTCTGAAACTTTCACTGTTGAGCTGGGGTAAATGTCCCGCCAGGTCTGCACTACCGTGCAGTGTGTCCCCATGTGCATGGTTTTCCTTGAAGACCAGTTATGTGTCTTCCCTTACAACCACATGCGCTCCTAGGTGTGATGATGCATACCTGCAGTCCCAGCTACTCAGAAGGTAGAGGCAGGAGGATCATGAGTTCAAGACCAGTCCAAAGTTATTGAGATTTTTTTTTCCTCTGAAAAATTCAAAATAAAACAAAAAAGGCTAGTGATATAGCTCAAGTAGTAGAGTGCTTGCTTGCATGTGCAAGGGTGATCCCAGGCCCATCAGAGATCACACGTTCACACTACTCTCCAACCACATCTGTTGTGGTTTGCTACGGCAAAAGTCATCATCACCCAGAACTTAGCCAGAAGGAGCTTGGTGACCTTGTTTCCCGGATGGTGACTTAACTACAGTCACGTTTGGTATCTCCTCTCAGTCTACAGCCTGTGCTGACATGTGTCCATAGTTGTGGTAGCCTGTGAAGTTGGCCCTGCAAATCTCTAGATTTCCACTAACATGCGTATCTGATACCAGTCAACATCTTTAGAACAGTGGTGCTAGCGTGTTGTATGGATTAGACACACACTGGTTCCTGCCCTTTGGATGTCTGCCCACCTTTCCTGACATCTGAAGGCTCAGGTGTGTGATCTGGTCTCGTAAGCGTTTTCTTTCTGACCTTAGACACGTGGACACCTGCCCATGTCCTCAGTGCCTGGGGGTGTGTGGCGTCTGCACATAGGGCCTCCTCATGTAGTTGGTAGTCTTTCTCATATCTGAATTCTAGGCTGTTTCCAAGAATGCTGATAGTGTCTCCTTTTCTGTGTGTTTTTAGGAAGCGTAACAGGAAAGGTGAAAAGAATGGCAAGGGCCTGCGGCATTTCTCTATGAAGGTGTGTGAGAAGGTGCAGAGAAAGGGGACCACCTCCTACAACGAGGTGGCTGATGAGCTGGTGGCAGAGTTCAGTGCTGCTGATAACCACATCCTACCAAATGAGTCAGTAAGTGCTGGGTAAGGCTGGGGCCAGGGCCTCAGGACCCCTCACTAGAGCACCCTTGGGGCCAGGGCCTCAGGACCCCTCACTGGGGCACACTCTGGGCCTCAGGACCCCTCACGGGGCATGCTCCAGGCCAGCGCCTCAGGACTCCTCACTGCACACGGGGCCAGAGCCTCAGGACCCCTCACTGGGGCATGCTCCGGGCCAGGGCCTCAGGACCCCTCACTGGGGCACATTCGGGGGCTCAGGACTCCTCATTAGAGAGGCACTTGTTTTATGTAGAGAGTTGCAGGCAGATGGGGACATTTCTGTACCAGTCTGAGGTGGGCCTAGTCATCTGCAGAGGACAGGTCAGGAGGATGCTCCCTGAGCCAACGTGACATACCACCCAAGGCTGTGCTCAGGGCCTAACACCGGAAGTGCGCTGGTCTGTCAGCCCTGTGCATACTGGGAAGGGTGCTGCTCTGTGTTTCCCAGGCTTATGACCAGAAGAACATCCGGCGGCGTGTCTATGATGCCTTAAATGTGCTGATGGCCATGAACATCATCTCCAAGGAGAAAAAGGAGATCAAGTGGATCGGCCTGCCCACCAACTCTGCTCAGGAGTGCCAGAACTTAGAGGTGTTCACAGCCTTCTTTTCCATAGTGTTCTTTAGATTTACCCCTGAACACCCTGTCTCAGATAGATGTCCTGGGTTACTGGCAGGCTATGAGTGCTTATCCTCACGGTGGGCCTCATGAGCTGCTCAAGCTGTGTCATTAGGAAGTTTTGCCTCCGACTACATGTCTAAACCCCAACAGAGCTTAGTTCTTAGCCCTTGTTTTCAGGGCTTTATTTTGTTTTTGTCTTTCATTACAGCTGTATTCACGAAAGGAAATGGTGGGGTCAGGAGTAGTGTGTGAAGTTTCAGGGATGTTGGTCTTCATCTGTACCTTCTGCCATGTGCACACTTGCCCCAGTTGCCTTGCCAAGAGTTGTGGAGGTGTGGTGGGGAGAGCAGATAGCTGTGGTGCCATGCAGACTGGGTTTGTCCAGCCCAGCAGCCACCTGCTCATGGGTCTATCTCCACAGGTGGAGCGGCAGCGGAGGCTGGAGAGGATCAAGCAGAAGCAGTCCCAGCTTCAGGAGCTTATCCTGCAGGTAGGTAGATGGCCCCTCCTCCTGAGACTCAATGAGTTTTGCAAATGCTTGCTGGGCTCCTCCCCTGGGTGTGGTCGGTGATGGGGTAAGCCGCCACCAATGGAGCCCTGTAGCATCTAGTGACACCTGGGAGTCCTGTCACAGTCCCCAGCCCCTCACAAGGCTGCCTGAAACTTGATCCCACCCACCGAAGGGCAGGGTTTGGTATCCACCAGCTGGGGAGCTCACCTTTTCCTGTGGCATCAACCAGGGCACCAAGTAGATCTTGGGAACTGGACCCAAGAGAGAAGCAGGGATAGCCTCGGTTCCAGTCTGTGGTTGCCTGTACAATGTGTGTATTGCATGCCTGTGCTGTAGCATAAGTGCCTGCTTGTTGGAGATCAGTGGGTGCACTTGCTTCTGTGGAGAGGCCGTGAGGGTGGATCAGCTGGCTTTGCACTGCAGAAAGTTGTGTGTACACAGCCACGGCAGGAATAAACACTGCCTCTGGATTTGGTCCTGCTGGAAGGAGAGGTCCTTCACCCAAACACCCTTAGTCTAGGACAGGGTGTCCCCTGCCTGTGGTGTAACCAGGTGGCCGCAGGGACTCGCTTTCATTGTGGCTGAATTGTCTGTGTTGTGTCTCCCATGTTGATCCTCTGAGGCCCCAGCTCCCCACGTGTACCCTTCCCTTGGCAGCACACCCCAAGACCCAGTGAGGGTTGTTTCCTCACAGTCTGGGTCCCTGCTGTCCACCGGGAGGAAGCAGAAGGGTTAAGCTGGCAATGACTGCTACCAGGATGTCTCTTCCTCTTTTCCAGCAAATTGCCTTCAAGAACTTGGTGCAGAGAAACCGCCAGGCAGAGCAGCAGGCCCACCGACCACCCCCACCTAACTCAGTCATCCACCTGCCCTTCATCATTGTCAACACCAGCAGGAAGACAGTCATTGACTGCAGCATTTCCAATGACAAGTATGTTGGTGAGGGGCTCACATGTGGCACAAATCTGTGTATGTATGTGTGTGTGTGTGGTACTAGAGTGTGCACTAGGCCCTCTACCACTTGAACCATGCCCCCAGCCCTTCTTTCTTAAGTGATTTCTCAAGAGTTTTTTGCAGGGCTGGCCTCATGTTGTGAACTTCCTACTAGGGCTTCCCACATAGTTGGAATGACAGGTATATGTCATGACTCCTGGCTTGTTTGTGGGCAGGGTGGGAGGGGGGAGGGAGAGCAGGGATAGTTTCTAGCTAGGGTGTGTGTGTGTGTGTGTGTGTGTGTGTTACTGGAGGGAGAGCAGGGATAGTTTCTAGTGTGTGTGTGTGTGTTACTGGAGGGAGAGCAGGGATAGTTTCTAGCTAGGGGTGTGTGTGTGTGTGTGTGTGTGTGTGTGTGTGTGTGTGTGTGTGTGTGTGTGTGTGTGTGTGTGTGTGTGTGTGTGTGTGTGTGTGTGT